TCAGTCTATGGGCAAAACTCAGAAATCCGTCGTGTGTTTCAATCCATGTTTGGACGGGTCATCACATAAGTCCACATATGAGTGTGAGCTCTATACCCTCTATAGAGCGCTGGTCCATTGGAGGCACTACCTCCTAGGAAGAATCTTTTATATGAGATCTGACCATGAGACACTGCGCTGGATCAAGACACAACCCGTGCTCTTCGACGCACTTAAGAGGTGGATTGAAGTCATAGACATATATGACTTCAAACTCGACCCTCTAAAGGGAGAGTACAACAAAGTGGCTGACACACTATCGCTCAGGGAAGACTATTTGGGCGCGCTAGGGATTTAGTTTGGAATAGCTGACGATGTAACTCGATCCATGGTGGAAGCCTATTGAGAGGACGCAGTCATGTCTGAGATCATTCACAAATTGGAAGTTAGAGATAAAGCTTCTTTTGATGAGTTTGTACTGGTTGACGACTTGCTGTTTTTTGAGAAGGCTGGGAATAAACGATTGTATGTTCCGAATAGAGACTCTTTGTGTAGTCTATTTTTAGGAGAGTGTCACGATGCGACTGGTTATTTTGGCTATAAAAAGACAGCAGCAAACTTAGTGCAGAAATTTTGGTGGCCCACAATGATGGATGATGCAAAGAATTACGTAGAAACTTGCCAGGTTTGTCAACGTGACAAGCCCCGGATGCAAGCACCGCTTGGGCTGATCAAACCCTTGCCCATCCCTGTTGGTCCAGGTCAAAGTGTATCCATGGATTTCATGGATACCCTTGTGACCAGCAAGAGTGGTAAACGACACATCTTTGTCATTGTGGACAGATTCACGAAGTATGCTAGACTAATCACTATGCCAAAGACAACATGGACTGACCACGTCATCAAGCTATTTATGGACAACGGGTACATGACTTTGGTTTCCCTAAGTCTATTGTAAGTGACATGGATTTTAGATTCACTGGTGAACGGTGGAAAAATACGGCCCAACGAATGGGTACCCGACTACAAATGACATCAGGGAACCACCTTGAGTCAAATGGTCAGGCCGAACAGATGAACCAGGTAGTGCAGCACTTGCTTCGACATTACATTAAACCAAGTCAGGATGACTGGGACGAGAAATTACCCCTTGTTACCAGCCTGTACAATAACGCCATGCACAACACTACCGACATGACTCCCAATCAACTGCATTTTGGTTGGAAGCTCAGATCTGCATAAGACTTCTTGTTGCTTGAAAATCAGCCAACTGCTGCCCCTGGCAGCATCATGTTTGCTGTCAAGTATGAACAGATTCTGCAGCAGGCTGTGGAGCACATCAAGAAACCTCAAGATGCCATGGTTGCATATGAGAACAGACACAGACGACCATCTGAGTTTCAGGTAGGTGAATGAGTCTGGGTAAAGTCTCACGTAAACGGATGCCACAGTACTTTGGCCCCTAGGAAATTCTTGATATAGTGGGAGATCAACCAGACGGGCCGTCATATGTTATTCGCATCCCTGGACACCTACGTACCCACTCTGTCTTTCATGCATCAAAGTTGGCACCTTTCTCATTCACTGATCAGTTTCCCTCCAAGAGATCGATGCTCTGCCCCCCGGGACATGTGGACATTGACGACATCATTGCGCACAAGCTGATGCCAGTACCCAAGCCTCCAGGCAGGGGCGCCCTCCGAAACTGCAGATGCATCGAGTACGTTCAGACATCATATGGATCCTAAGGAAGATTGATGGTTCACCAGAGAGGAATTGATGAAGACTGCTCCCCGAGTCATCACAAGTTATGAACAAAGTTTGAAAGGGAAGCAGCCTGATGTGTAACGGCTTCTCAGAGGACTGTCGAAGTAAAGGAGGAGGGAGTGCGGGGGGTTGATCCCTCAGCATAACCGCATAAGGCCGTGCATCAGGCACGTGTCCACCCTAAGTGAAGGCGGGCCCCTGACTTGTCAATTTTTGCAAATCTTGGTCGGCGCCAGACAGTTGGCACGCGCCAGTTGGTTACATTCGCCCTGCACGTGAGAATAAGAAAGATTCATGAGCCTTCCAGGCCATTCTCAACGTGGCCAGAGCAGGGGACATTGCACGTTCGTGCCTGGGTGGTTGGGCATGTCTAACCAATTCGGTCCCAGGCCACTGTCTGAACGGGCCTGGGCGCAAACACTTTGGCCGAGACTGAAGTTACTGGAAACTCGGTCTCACGTGACGGGGCAAGGCAAAGCGCCCACCACTTTCTATATAGGAAAGGGACGGGCGCCAGGCTCAGCATTCGGGCACTTGCATTTGCGGGCGCAGCGCTGGTGGAGCACGTGGGTAGAGAAGACGAGAGAGAGAGAGAGAGAGAGAGAGAGAGAGAGAGAGAGAGAGAGAGAGAGAGAGAGAGAGAGAGAGAGAGAGAGAGANGAGAGAGAGAGAGAGAGAGAGAGAGAGAGAGAGAGAGAGAGAGAGAGATGAGGATGATGACGCGAAGGCACGCTCGTGGTCTTGGCGATAGACTACAAGGGTCGGCATCTTAATGTACTTTGTTCTGCTGCTGACATCAGCAGTTGAATTGTCAATTTCAAGGCTGTAGTAGCTGCGTGATAGTAGTCGGGGCGCTAAGCGCCAAGCAGGAGAAGGGCTCTGGGTACTTGCATTGGTGATGGCGAGAGTATGCTCTCATTGACACTCGGATTCAGTGTTTTGGTTCTCCACTGGTGTAATATCAGTGCAGTTCTGCTTTCTGCACAATGTCAGACTTCCTGGCTTTCAATGCGATTTTGCAATCTGAAATTTGTCATTTCGCAATTGCTTATTTTCCTTGCGTGGGATTGAGATGACGTGATTGGGATGTCCATGCTAAGGCCCTAAGTGAAGGCTTCAGCTGGCGAAAATATGCGGCCCTAAATGAACGCCAGCGCAGTACGGTTGAAGGGACGGCTGGAGCCCACAAGCTAACCAGTAGGCTCAACCCCTGAGTTATAGTTGTAGAGGTCAGGGCCCAGCCCTCGGCCCAGGCCCTGAACCAGTTGGTTCTGGGATGCCCATGCAGGGCCTCCAGGAAGACACGAAAGGAGGATGTCGTTGCATTCCACATATTTGGATGCAATGGCTGCGACCACTACAGTCTTCCCCCGAATACAACTCACAGTCATTATTGCCGAATTTGGTGCATCTTTCCGTCTAAATTCCGCTATAATGAGCGTACATTGTATTCGGGGGAAGACTGTAGCTCTGCTAGAACGCACGGCAGGTGAGTGTGGGCTCATTTTGAGGAAGGAGATGAGGAGCAACCACTGTGAGCTGCTCCACCCAGCGACAGCCTCAGCTGCATCGAGAAGAAGAGCGGTGTTGTGTTTGGGTGACAGGAAGAAGGACAGCGGTGGGAACTGGTGGTACTTACCTGGTGGTGGTTGAGGATCACACGGGTGGGTGAGACTCCCCAGCATCATCTGGCAAAGTCATCGCGGACGAGAGAATGTGAGGAGAGAAGTAGGAGGTGTATGGAGAGAGTAATATGCAGTTCTGAGTGGCTTTTATGGGTCATCTAGATCCTAAAGAAGATCAGTGGTTTACAAGGCATGAGCTAATCGAGTCTGCACCTCAAGTGTTTCTGCGTGATGAGAGTGCAAGGACACTATAAGTTCTAAGTGGGCTTTGAACCTGAAGGG